GCATTAGTTATTTATAGAATTTATTTTATGACTTCCAATATAATGAATACCATAAATCTGAACAATAGGCAGTGGACAGGTAGCCCCTATCGACGCGGAGACCGATAATATATTTAATGAAAACGAGTTCATCGGAACCGGAAAAACATTACCCGAAACACCCGACGACATAGACAGCTATTGTGAAAGTTCTCTGAGCAAGGCTAATCGGGAGTATGTATTACCATATTCAAATTTCCATATTTTTAACTTTTTCTATCGCATTAAACTAAACAATAATTATAAATAAAATTATAAATAAGTCATGAATAAGGTAACAATTTAAATCAGATATTAATGTGTTTAATAATTTCCAGTCGTATAAACGATACGTTGCCGGTGTGGCTGAAATTTGTTAGTACGCTTAAACCGGGTCTAATAGCCATACACGATAAGGTTTTCAGAGAATTTAACAATCCATTTATGCCTTTACCCCAAATTACGGAAACCTTTTGCAAACTCGATGTTATGAGGGCTGTGAGTCTGGCCAAGGGGTACAACGCGAGACTGACTGCCGGGCGTCCACTCAAGGACTCAGCCATCGCACAGATAGTGGAGGCGTCCAACAAAAATGACTCCTTGGGTCGGATCCTATGGTATAGTAATGCGATTATTATAATTGTGAGATGTTTGTCTCAATGTATAGCACATTAGAGGCGTATTTCTGGGGTATGAAGGATACCATCAACAATCGGACCATCAATTATAACGGCGATTTGCATATGTATGTCCACGTTTTGGTCGGTTTTGGCCAAATATTAAGCGGTACGATAACCGATGCAAAGTTTCCCAGCAGAGATGGCCCCGGGCTCTTGCTTTTAAGCACCCACTTTAATTGCGATATAAGCAAGGACAACCCTAAGCCGGAGTTTAGTTTCAAGTCCATAACTTTATGTGGCACTATCCGCGTTGAATAAGTACTTCTAATAATGTTTTATAAAATGTATAATTTTGTTGTAGCATTTAGTATATGAAAAAGTGCTTGTTACAATGAAAATTGTAAGAATTTATTTGAATAAATGAAGTTTTATATCATATTTGGGGCACTGAATTTTGATATATAAAAAGTGTATATTTTATTATAACATTTATTATATTTTATGACCAAGGAATTTAGAAATTAATATTTAATTCTCGTGAGTAATGGAAATAATTAATGATAATAATTAATAATACATTTATTTTGTAGTTTAGTTTTGTATAGAATATTATTATTGTTAGTATACTACTAACACTATTCATTCTCTGTATGATATCTAAATAACATAATTTTTAAAATTTTTTTAATTACATTCTACTAATAAATTACAATTAATTTCTCACTCAAATTACGACACGTTTGTTTTTATATATTAATAGTATAAGTATATTTGTATATGTAAAACATTAAGTACTTTTAAGTTAACAACAGTTTAATAGTTTAATATTTTATTTAAACTATTTATTTTTAAATCACTGTCAAAATGAAGTGCTATTTGATCATAACAATCGTATTGGCTTATGCAGCAAATTGTATGTGTATATACTACCATTAATTTCTTACTAATTATTACTACATTTTAAATTAATTTCTTAACTTTATTTTGGTTGAAAAATGAAACCATTTTAATATGTGATTGTCCAACCGCCCTTTTATACAATACAAACTTGCCTAGTTGTTTGTTGACTTTTCAAAAGTACTTGAAGTAAATATAATTTATTTATATGGATTCAAGTAAATTAAATATTTTTAATTAGTATTAAGTAGTAATGCGTGTATATTATTGATTTAAAATTATTAATAATTATTATTGTGAATTATTGTATATTTTGAATATACCCCTTTATACCCCATATCCACCTGTATATTATTTTTACTAGTAATTAAAAAATTTCCCATATTCCTAAATTATTATTAAATTATCAGATTATCAGGGTAGTTATCACAATCCGTTTAAACATCCATTACATTAGTTAGTTATTTATTGCATTCATTTTATGACTACAAAATTATTAATTGCATAAAATCTTAACTTTAGGCAGTGGACAGGTAGGCATTATTGACGCGGACACCAATGATGTGTATAATGAAAACGAGTTCATCGGAACGGGAAAGATATTACCCGACACACCCGAGGGCATAGCCAGCTTTTGTGAAAGTTATATGAGCCAGGCTAATCGGGAGTATGTATTACGTGATACAATTTGCCAAACCCTATTTAACTTTTCTGTCGCAATAAACTAGACAATAATTATCTTAAAAACATGAATAAGACATCCATACAATTTAAATAAGATAATAATGTGCTTGTATATTTATAGTCGTATAGTCTACACATTGTCAGTGTGGCTAAAATTTGTGGGCTCACTTAAACCAGATCTAATTGCTATACACGATACCGTTTTCAACGACCCCACCAATGTCATACCAAACGCCGTTGATTGGTTTTGCAAACTAAACGTCACTATGGCAGTGAGTGTGGCCAAAGGGTACAACTCGAAATTGGTGATAGGTCACTTGATCAAGGAGGCGGCCATTAACAATATACTGGTGGCGTCCAAGCAAAATAGTCACACCTTACCCCTTATTATATGGTATAGTATGTGATGTTTATTATTATGGGAACAGAATTATTATAATAGTTAATGAATTGTTTGTCTCAATGTATAGCGCATTGCGTGAGTATACTGAACAGATTCAGTTGGCTCACAATGATAGCCCAGATTTGAGACATTTTGCCTACAGTTTGGTCCGCTATAGCACAGTGTTTGCCGATTTGGTGGACCCTAAACATTGTGTGAGAACTGAAGATAACCGGTGCGATTTAAGCAAGGACAACATATGCGACCCGGAGTTTAGCTACAAGTCCGTCATGCACGTAGCATTTGCGGGGTTGAATAAGTATTTTTAATAACATTTAATAAAAAGCATAAATTTTGTGGCATTTAGTGCATGATACAAGTGCTTGTTACAATGTAGATTGTTTGAATAAATGAAGTTTGTATTTGTAAGATGTTTATATTTGAAACACTGAATTTTGACATATTAATTTTTGTATAGCATTTATTATTTTAAATGATCCAAGCAAATTAGAAATCAAAATAATGAAAATAATTAATGATTCTTTTGAATTAATATTTATTTTTCATCATTTAATGGAGAAAATGCACTGAAGACTAAATAACTTGTATTTTTGAAACAGTTTTCTTGATTATATTGTACAATGACCTTTTAATTTAATTAAAAAGTTTTGTAATCTCTTTAAAAAATAGCAAGAATTTTAGTGCTATAGTAATTTATACCTCAATTATAAATTCATAAGGAGTATTAAATTATTGTTAAGATATGACAGAATTTAATATTGTTTTCTACTATACTAATAGGTAGAGTCAATATGAAATAATAAGTTTTGATTATCTAATTTTGTAAATCGTTAAAATTATTTGGAATTAATCTAGTAAATTACAACAGCCAATAGGGGGAGAGTAGGGATTAAGGCCTAAGATAGGCATTACAATATGCAATTCTCATGAGAAAATAATTAATGATCAAAAACTTAAACAGAAAAGTCAACTGATAGTTTAACTATAATAGTTATGGAAAGATATTATAATTTTTATTCATTAACTAAGAAATAATTTTCAGTAACTTTATTGTAGATTTTATTAATTTCTAATATAATCACATAAATAAAACCACTTAAATTTTACACATTATTGTACAGATTTTGCTTGATTCACGAGATTATACTCATTCAAATGACAACTTTAAAAATAATTGCCCAGAATAAACTCTAGTCCATTGGCTGAATACATAAGACATTCAAAATGAATCTCAAAGTTCTTCAGATATATTCATTAGTTGCGATATCATTATCATTAGGAATTCCCGTAGAAATTAGTGAGACTACACCTAATTTAACACTCATGTGTACACTATCTGTAAATAATACACTGGTTTGGCTCAAAGACGGACATGAGATGACATTTGACGCCAATTACATGTATTTCCAAATCAAAACGATTGACAAAATGTTGATCGCATTGCTGTCCATCAGTCCATTGAATGGCGAAAGAGATGCCGGAGTTTATGAATGTAATAACATTTCGTATAAAGTCTTCAATAAGTTTTCAAATGCAAGTCAATCGATAGAGTTGTCACCGGAATTACCACAAGACGTGACACAAAAGCACTTTTTTGTCACCTTTTGGACTGATTTTGTCAATACTGTCGAGACTATAGTTCTTGTGATGAAGCAATTCATCGACTTTTACATGAGTTTAGGATTTGTGTGGCAATTGCTATTAGGGATGATAGCCATGGTTTTGATTGTCTTATTAATTATCATTCAAATCATTTCGAGTACTTATAAGGAGACGAGTCTGAGTTATGCCAAAGTCAAGAGACATTACCTACAGATTAAATACAAGACTGTCCTCAAAGACACCACCACTGAGACTGAAGACAATGTCCAAGAAATTGACGATTTGGACGATGATATCGTCAACCATTCATTCGTCGCTTTACTCAATGAATAGATTTATTTCCTAATTATATATAATTTTTTAGAAACAACTTTTAGTTAACTATAAAACAAATATCATACTAATAAAACTCTTGTAATACTCATAAACTTTATATTAAATAACTAAAAATCTATAATGTCTTAGAAACTTATAAATAAAGTTCTATATGTTAAATAAAATTATAACCTTGGTCACTACAAGAATGGCATAAAAATTATCTTAAGAAATGAACACAGAATCGCCACAAGAATCTCATTCACCACAGAATTGGTGCTCAAATAAAGTGGACGTAATTGTTGTGAAGCGCCTGTGAATGGCCTCCCATTGAATAACATGTGGTTTTGACTTCATTTTCAGCACTCAATACAGCGTTGACTTCAGACAACCAATTGTCTCATCCTTTTGGATCAATTGTCTTCAGGCACACGACTACCACACCAGACATCACCACAAATATGACAAATACAGTGACCGCTCAGAAGCCCGAGGAGGAGATCAAAGCCGAACAGGAGGGTAGGTATCACTGGAAAGACACCGCAAGACATACACCACACATGCCATCCCTTTCCCTCACCACTACTTCCTCCATGTCTTGCGTGTTGTGTCTCGTAACGAATGGTGTGTTTTAATGATTGTATGTTTTTTTTGATGATATGTGCGGCGATTGGATGGATAGCCTCGGCGACCGACACCGACTCGGATGACAACGACTCGGACGACGTGCCGGATCTGGTCGGTGATGGCGAGGCCGGCGCTGACGGCAAAGACAAGGATAAGGCGAACGCACTGTTCGACGAGAGCGGATCCAAAGCCAAACAGTCGCGGAGCGAGAAGAAGGCCCGCAAAGTGATGTCCAAACTCGGCCTCAAACAGGTATTACACCTCAAGAGCGCAACTCTAACAACGATGGTTGCCATTGATTATCTCACGCGTGTCTTATTGTGTGTCTGAAGGTGACGGGCGTTAATCGGGTGGCGATCCGCAAGTCGAAGAACATCCTGTTTGTGATCAACAAACCGGATGTCTATAAGTCACCGGCGAGTGACACATACATCGTCTTCGGAGAGGCGAAGATCGAGGACTTGTCCCAAAAGGCACAGATGGCTGCGGCCGAGAAGTTCAAGGCTCCCGAGGCGGGCGCCGGTGGTCTGCCCAGTGGTCTGGATTCGGTGGCGCCCGGTATTAATCAGCCGACGACCGCACCGATAGCCGAGGAGTCCGATGAGGAGCAAGAGGTGGACGAGTCGGGAGTGGAGGCCAAGGATATCGAGTTAGTGATGAGTCAGGCGAATGTGTCGCGAGTTAAGGCCGTCAAAGCCCTCAAGAATAATAATAACGATATCGTGAACGCCATCATGGAGTTGACGATGTAGTCAACGGATCCCCAGTGGAGATACTATCGTTGACTACCTGTCCCACACATACATTTCAATGCGATTGAGTGTATCATTAATTAGTTTTTTTGCTTTTTAATTAACTCACATTATATGACAACTAGTTTATGGGAATGCCGTTTGTTGTCTGAATTTTCGTACATGAATTGAGATTTTAAATTCAGTGTAACATTGAAATGAATTGATTGCTGAACTGAATGAATAAAATTGTTTTTTAAGTTATAATTTTGGTGATATTTTTTAATGTTTTAAATTATTAGTTACATGACTGTGATAGCGATTTAATGTTTGATTGTTTACTATTTTTTTAGAGATATTTGATTTAATTATAAAACAGTCAACGAGTATTGATCCACTGGTGGTAACTCTATGTCGAGGATCTCCCGGAGCAATGGTCCCAACATTCTGGGATCCTTTTGTCGTTTGGATTCATTTTGAATATCAGTCAATTTGCGTACGTCTTGTATAATGTCTAAAATGTGCACTAATTTGGTGTCACATTCAGAGCCATACCTTATACGCAAATACCTCTGAAGTAAATACAGGTATAACTGCTGTTGAAACCTATGAATACATCCAATGAATGTAATAATAGGCAACAAATGAGGAAATTATTGGTCACATACCTAACAGTCTCTGGATGTATTAGTTTTGGTTGGTCTGGGTTAAATAGTATTATCGGCAGTAACTGTCAGCAATAAATAGAAATCATGTATCAATAAGATTTAAATTAGAAAAACTACCCTATCTTAGATTATAATTAAAAACAATGAGTACCAGGTATATAATGTTAAGATCTAGATCCAGGACATGTCTGATTGAGTGCAGGACTCGTCTGGACATCGGATACCAACACTTTAAATGGTGTTGTTTTAGCATGTCCAATTTTAATATCATTGCATCGCCGGTGTCCTAACAGACAAATGCGATTGTATTATAGTTAGGAATACAGTATTACCACATGAAGTATCAGTATTATGAACATATTTTACCAGGACTACTTTCCACCAGTCGTTATCATAATCAAAACGAGTATGGCCATAGAGAGTCATGGCCTCAAAGGTTCCACTCTTGAATAGAGTAACTTGGTCCTTTTCGCAGATGTCTTTGAATGCTCGCAAACCCTTACACATCTTCACCACTAATGGTATGTCTTGTTCGCACTTACGAGCTAATGGTCTGAAGATTTCATCGATGTTCGTGGGCTCCCAGACAGTGACGGCCACTAAGTTGCGCTTCAAGTGATTGATAGCCGATATGAGTTCACTCACGAATTGCATCTCATTTTCATTGAAGTTATTGTTGTCGTAATCGTTGATGGGTTTGGCGATCGCGATGACCGCCGATTGGGATTCATAGTAACTATCGGTGCTATTAATGTCTGAGTAATCCATGTTTGGTGTGTAAAAGTCTATATCCATGTCCAGTGATCTACTGTTTAGTTCTTCGCTGAAAGTTTCAGTCATAGTGTCAGGGATAGTGTCGGTGATAATGATATCACTTTGCGATTCATTTGCGGGACAACTGTTTTCAACGTATGATTTATTTGACACACGCTTTACCTTTGATTTAGTCTTTGGTTTGCTTTTTATAGCATATTCTCTCTGTTTTCGTTTAGTCTCTATTTTTAAGCGCCTTTCCTCCCGTTCCTCATCTTTGAGTATCCATTCCTAACATAACTAAATCGTTAGTATATATGAAAACTGTATGCCTTTTAATCAATGAATACCTCTTGCATTCCGACATCGAAACACTTTTTCAATCGACAACTTCTGCAGAATTTTCGAGAATTTGAGTCTATTTTACAACTTTCGATGTAATAGCAAACATAATCCTGGTCGTATATTCAATTAAAATATAAGTTAGATTGTAAAACTAATTATTTCAACCAATAATTACATCAACTTTTGCCGCATTTCTCCGGAAGAATGCTTTACAAGACTCGCACGAAATGACACCAAAATTTTTGCCTAAAATTAAAATTTTAAAACTTATAATTAATAAATCGAAAATATTCGTGAAGTTTATACTAATATTATATAAACAAGTTGAAATCAATACACATCCAATTATCATAGATCAAACATCCAATTACATATAATTTGTAAAATCTAGAATTAAACTCCAATAGTTACCCCGAACATTATTTGATTGAAATTTGTCAATAATATCATAAATATAACTACTAGTAGTTAAATAAATAAATAAATAACAATGTTATATTACAATCTAGGTATTATTAGTTTAAAATTAGTTTATAATTATATTGTCTCTGCATCTAATTAATTGATAGATATTTGATGACAATTTGATTAGCGGTAATATTAACATATAAAATAATAAAATATCAATGAATATCATACCAATTGCTTTATCCCCACAAACCAAACATATTTTCCGTTTATTTGACATCTTTTTAGTAATCATTTACTATAAAAATTTTTAATAATAATATTAAAATTATAAGTAACACATATACTGAGAAAACAAGCTGATTCCTAATATAATGAATAATGAAAGTTATTTATAAGAATAATATATCAATACTGTATTAATATTAACTTTTAAAGTAAGTAAATACAGTATCGTAAGTAAGTAAAGTAGATATCTTTATAAAATCATTGCTATGGGATACAACATTTGCGTTGTCAAATTAATTATACGGTACTTGTAATGGAGTAGACTTTCCACCAGTACTTATGTACTAAAAAGTTTCTAAAACTACAGTATAATATACTAACAGAAAAGTATATTTTATTCAATATTATATTAATATGCTAGCTTATTTATCTAGTATTTAAATCAATTGTATATCTATTTTATAACACATGTTTAAATAAAACTATTTAATATTATAAAATTTTTCAATTGTAATTAAATTGTATTGTATAAATTTATCTAATAATTACATTGAATTTATAACAAAATACATAAATGTTTACCAATACTTATGTAAAACTGTTTGCTTGTAATAATAAAATTAAACCAGTATATGAAAATAATTAAAAACACCAAAATAGTTAATAATAATACTTATTTTTACATTTAACCTGAAATTAAATTGGATATAAAATAATTAAATGTTTAAATAAATTATGTTTTTCAAAACTAAAGTACTGCTTTTGAAACTACACTTTAATTAACAATACACAGCCTTCAGTTATTTTATTACCGGTACGACCATTGTAGGAATTCCCTTTTATCCACTTTTTCCTCCATGATTTTTGATAAAAATTGTCACTACTAAATATATCTATAAATTGGTTAAACTTGAAATATTTTAACAAAATGTTTAAGAGTCTTGCAAAATAAATATTATAATTTGCTATTAAATTAAACTTAAATTTAAATTTTAAATAAACATTGTTAAATGTAATTTTTAAATATTACATAAACGGACTTATTTCCACAAATAATTTGAGCACAAATTTAATATTAAACAAAGTAGATAAATTTTATTATTTTGTACTAATACAGTAATTGTGTTTTGTAATACAATACACAGATTGTTATCAATTTGATCACATATTCGGTTAGTTTTCAAATATCCATCAATTTCTTTGTTTTCATTTTTCTTTTTACTTTAATGCCATTCCTATTCATAAAATATTGATTATTAAATCAAAAGTAAATAATATAATGAATGAATGGAAATACATGTTTCACTTCGACGGCATAACACTTGCGGAGTCGACACCTGCAGCAATGGTCTACGGGTCTGTACATTGACTTCACATTTGCCATCAAACGGATATTTATTGCACTCCTGTTTCACAATTAATAAATTGAGGAATTATTTAATGAACCAGATTTCTATAAGTCATAATTATTCACGATAGTTGTATAAATTGTACAAGTTGATATCAATTCAAATAATGTTTATTTACATGAAAGCGTTTTAATGAGTTGTTTGTGAGTTTTAGGTTATATTTGAGTTTTTATAATGCAGTCAACGAGTATTGATCCACTGGTGGTAACTCTATGTCGAGAACCTCCCGGAGCAATGGACCCAACAATTTAGGATCCTTTAGCCGAGTGTCTTGATTATGAATGTCAGTCAATTGGCGTATGTCTTGTATAATGTCCAAAATCTGGGCTAATTTGGTGTCACATTCAGAGCCATACCTTATACGCAAATACCTCTGAAGTAAAAACATGTATAACTGTTGTTGAAACCTATGAATACATAATTGAATTTAATTATTGATAATTCATACAAATGAGTGGTCACCTACCTAACAATCTCTGGATGTACAAGGTTAGATTTATTAGGATTGAAAATTATTATGGGCAGCAACTGTCATACCGGGGAGAGAAAGGTGTTACACAAATTTTAAAAATAGTATTTACATTAAATAACTTTATGATGATTACCAGATATATTATATTAAGGTCTAGGTCTAAAGTGTGCTTGATGTTATTTAAAGTTTTTTTGGACATCGGGTAAACCGTCTCGAATCGGTGCTGTTTGAAAAGGTCCAGTCTTATTATCACTGCATTGCCGTTATCCTGGAGCATAAATTATAAATTATTTGTTGATTTTATCAATATAAGCAAGTTAGCTTTACCATAACAACTTTCCACCAGTCGTTGTCGTAATCAAAACGGGTATACCTATAGAAAGTGAGGGCTTCAATGCCCCCACTCTTGAAAAGTGTCATTTGGTCCCTTTCGCAGATGTCTTTGAATGCCTTCAGACTCTTACACGTCTTCACGAATGACGAAATGCTTTCTTCGTGTTTATTCATCAGTGGTCTGAAGAAGTCATCGATGTTTGTGGGCTCCCAGACAGAGATGGCCACTAAGTTTCGCTTCATGTGTTTGATGGCCGACAAGAGTTCGCTCACAAAATGCATCTCATTTTCATTGAAGTTATTGTTGTTGTAATCGTTGATGGGTTTGGCGATCGCGACGACCGCCGATTGGGATTCATAGTAACTATCGGTGCTATCAATGTCCGAGGAGTCTATGTTTGGTACGTAAAAGTCATTATCCATGTCCTGTGATCTACTATTTTGCTCCTCGCTTAATGTGTCAGCGATTGAGTGGTTGTCAATGATAACACTCTCGGAGCCATTTTCTGGACAACTGTTTTCATTGTCTAATTTGTTGGACACACTCTTTGTCTTTGTTTTAGTTTTTCGTTTCATTGTTATTTCTTTTCCTTTCTGTTGGCGATTAGTTTCTATTTTCTGACGCCTTTCCTCCCGTTCCTCATCGTTTAAAATCCAATCCTAATATTATAATATAGATGTAATTTAATCATAAAATTACATAAATTACTGATTTAGGTGTCGATGAATACCTCTTGCATTCCGACATCGAAACACTTTCTCAATCGACAACTTCTGCAGAATTTTCTTGAATGTGAGTCTATCTTACAACTTTCGATGTAATGGCAAACATAATCCTGGTCGTATAATCAATTAAAATAAAAGCACAATTTTTTAAAAGTGACATTTAAAGTTTAAATCATAATTACATCACTTTTTGACGCATTTCTCCGGAAGAATGCTTTACAAGATTCACACGAAACGGCACCAAAATTCTTGCCTAATATTCAATACAACATTACATTTAAATTAACTACTGTATAATAATAAACATTAAATTTTTCGATATAATTATTGATTTTATGCTATATTATAAATGTAATAATTAAAATTAAGTTACTACACAATAATATTACACAAAAATATATTAAATATATTTTGGTGTATATTGAATTTAGGTTTGATGACATTTTAATTAATATTAATAATACTATAATACTGTACTGTAGTATTAATACTATAATACTATAACATACTGTATAATACTATTAATAAAACATTAAATAATAATAAAACAATGAATACAATACCAATTGCTTTATCCCCGCAAACCAAACATATTTTGTGTTTATTTGACATTTTATTGGTACTCATTATAAATCTGTTTTCAAGTAAGTGAACCAAAATATGTATATTAAAAATTAAACATATAAAATAAAGCGATTCTTATTATAATGTATAATAAAAGTCATTTATTGATATACGAATAATTACATATACTTTACTTAAGATATACTTTACGTTAATATGAATTTATAAAAAAAATATAATTAGATATGATCACTATGGGAAACCATATTTACGATGTGTAAACCTCATTATAATAAAGTATACTTTCTAGCAGTAGTTATGCACTTTATCAGCTTTATTTCAATGTTTTTAAAACATACCTTGATTTGATAAATAGTAAGATCCGAGGTTTAATAGATTATTTATCTAGCATTCAAATCGAAAATGTGTACTCATATGATAACAAATGTGTACTCAAATTAATTTAATTTAATATAACACGATAGTTGCAATAGATTATAAATTAGATTTTATATTTATTAAAAGCACAGACTAAATAAATATTTGCCAATATAATTTAGTATATTATACGTAGGTTTATTTTTCACTCATAATTGTACTTTCTTAATAAAGTAGAAATTTGTTATAAAGAACAATATAATTATTAGTAATATTGATCATGCAGATTTAGCCACAAATGTTATTTATTAATACATTTTAATGTTAAGGTAAAGTGTATTTAACACTAACGTACGGATTTTAAATGAACAGTGCTAATTATCCAACAGCCTTTACTGTAGTGTATATCATTTAATTTTTTAGGAATTCCCTTTCGCTTATTATTTCCTCCATTAAAGTACTTGTGATGATAATTATGTGGCAACAGATCAAATATACTAAAGTGTTTAGAAAACTTTTGTACAATTTAAAAAATATTGTATAATTGACTGGCACATAATTTTTTAAATGAAATATTATTTATATTAAATTCATAAAATTGAAACACAAGATTATAATTTAAAATTTTTATTTCAATTAATAAATTTTAAATAGTTATCGCAATATACACTGAAAAGTAAACTTTAAATAAATGGTATATTTATGTAAAAGTCAACGAATTATGATTGTGGGGAATATCAAGAATTTCGGTCAAAAGTGGTCCTAATCTGTGAGGATCCGGCTCTTCTGTATTGTTTTGTTTGTGAATTTTATCCAAATTTTGTACGTCTTCTAAGGTATTCAATAGTCTTATAAATCTTGACTTCGCCTCACATTCAGAGCCGTATCTGATCTGCAGATACCTCTGAAGTAAATACATGTATAGCTGTTGTTGTACTCTATAAATAATAGCAATACAAATGATTAATTACAATAAATAATTTGTTTATAATATTGTATGTACTGTACATTTATCAATCACTTACTTAATCAGCTCTCTATCAGTAAGGTTAGGGCGATCCGGGTTAAATAGTATTATAGCCATAAGCTGTTAATCAAAAATAGTTAATTAAATTTGGTTTAAACCATATGTGATAAATATAATGACCAAGTCTATAACAAAAGGATCCGAATCCCAATCAGTGATAAACTTTATTAAATAGTTCCGAAACAATGAATATCCGTCTCTTTTGGTCTCTTTCAACAGATCCAATGGTA